TCGAAAAATCCGTTGCTGGATCTATCGACAATCGGTCTGCAAGAGTTCCGACAACTCTTTCATAATTCCGTGACGGAGTTCCAGTCCGTTATTGGAACTCGTGACTCCAATCTTGCTGAATTCAAGAAATTGGGAAACAAAATGATTACCTGGCACGGAATGAAGGATCCATATGCGTTCTACAATGGCACGGTGGACTACTATGACCGCGTCCGAGCTTTCGACCCCGAAGTTGGAGACTACTATCGCTTCTTTTCCGCCCCTGGTGTAGAACATTGCAGCGGCGGGCCAGGATGGTTCCCCGGCGATGGTTTCAAGGCCTTGGTCGATTGGGTGGAACGTGGAAAAGCCCCCGATACTCTGTTTGCACTTGCAACACCCACAGCCACTGGGAGCGCTGATTTACCAACCAGGACAGCACGTTTGTGCCCCTATCCAAAAGTGTTGACTTATATCAAAGGAAATCCCGATAAGGCATCATCTTTCACTTGTAAATGAAGAGATATGTTCACCTGGTGATATCAATTATCAGCGAGAACGAAAGCCGTGCAAGCTGATAAAAGGATCGCAGATAGCTCAGCTTTACTGGATAATTAGACTAAGCTTCGAGGACTATGCTATAGAAGGAATTTGAAAGATGTTACGGGCTACTGATAAATAATGATTGTGAAGTTTTGAATGCCTCTGTTCCTAGTTCCAAAATATATCAAGAAATCAGACACGCAACATGTGACACTAAAAGAAGATTGATCTAGGACGCTTCTAAAGGTGAAGGTAAGTATTCGAGCCAAAGTATTACAGACGCATTCTTTTCCTAAGGATCATAAGTCATAACCGGGCAGCTAAATAATCTACTCTATTTACAATAAAACCCCAATAATCACCGCTATGGTAGTTATGTGTTAGATCTCACCTCACCACTCGAACTCCTGAGAAGGGCTTTTAGTCAAAGTCAATTTCAAGCTTGGGTCATCTTGTAAGCTCACCTCAGTGTAGAGTGTTAATGAAGGTCCATCATTATACAAGTCACTGAAAACAGCCTCGCGTATCGCACTCATCAATCCACTAGGACCGCAAGCACCGACAATGATGCGGTCGTCTATGCTGCTGCTTGAAGCAACAGCAGCCGCGATAAGCTTGCCAATATCAGGACGTCCAGGTCGGATGTCATTTATAGGTAACGGTGAGCCTGTGGCCATTTCTAACGCACCCTTCTCGAGATCATTTATTTGAGAGCCCAGTGGAGAAGGCTCTATTGAAACCACGCCGTCTTTCAGAGAATCCTTTTCTGAATGCGATTCTGGAGTGGTGGATAAGGATGTGCCAGAGAGGTCAATGGCGCGAGTGAAGTGAATGAGTACATTCACATTCGGATGGCTCTCAAGCTGCTTGAGCTCTTGGGTGAACCATTGAATGGACTCTATTAGATAGGATTAGTTACTGCAAATAAAGGGATATCCTCTGTGCATCCGAGTATCAAACGTACCACTTCCTCTCACTATCCAGATGAAATCAATGGCCTTGACCGATTTTGCTGATGCTTCGATCAGGTCCAGTGCAATTGCGAGAGTAAAACTGGCACCGCTGCCACCGGCGACAAGTACAACCCGGTCAAACACATTGAAATTAGGGACCTGGCCATATGGACCGTCAACAGAACAACGCAAGGACCTCCCTGGCGCCTCTTGGACAGCCTTGTACAAGTCATTTGTAAAACCATCATATACACGAATGACAAACTCAGTCGGGCTCGAAGACAATAGAGTGAACGGATGGCTTTCAAACCAGCGGATGGCGGGTACCCACAAGAAGGCATGAGATCCAGGACTGGAATGAATGCGGCGGCTGAGTTTCACCCGAAGGGCGTTGTCGGGCAGCGCCGTGACAGTGGCGAAGTTGCCGAAGAAATTCCAAGCTAGCTTTGCGCTTCGAATAATGCGATCCAGAGTCCAAAGGCAGGCAGTAAAAATCACGATAACCACGGTTGACGACGAGAAATTCGGACGGTGCATCCCTACTGTAATCATGATTAAGATGAACATGAAAATGTGTAGCATGTAGAAGACTAGATCTCGTTAGCATCGAAGAAGGGACACTTGACAGGGAAACTCACGCTCGTAGAAGCCTCGCATGAAGTAGGTAATGGTGGAAAGACCGATGATCACCATGGCCATGCCGGCAATCGAACCGCAGAAGTTTTCGGTCTCCTTCATTGATTCAAGGTTCCCTGTTTCCGACCAGGCACTTAGGTATACTATACCATGCAAGCAGCTTGTGAAGATGCAGGTGTAGCCGGCGACTTTGTGAAGCGGGCGAAGCTTCTCGTAGGATCTGGCCGTCAACGGTGCGAGCGGTGTGTTTTTCAGGGCTAAGAAGACCAAAAGCACCAAATTTGCGACGGAAATCCTGTCGATTGGTCTTTGTTAGTCTCTTTGCTATAAAGTTGGAAGGTATTAAGGAGCTGCACGAACCAGCCGAATCGTTTGGCAACCTGGGAATCCGTCAGTAAAAGTCTATACCATGACTAAAGAATGAACCAGATCAACGCACATTAGTGAGCTCTGTAAAGTCAACATTGGTCAAAGCTAGAATCAGATTGATAGCCCAGTAAATGGTATATAGAATAGACCGATCTGTCCTTAGTCCTATCGTTGAACTGGAAAGAAAGCGTCGAGTTTCTCTGTCACATTCAGACCATCAGTATCGTACTGAGAACTGTTTTGAATTAACATACCTATACTTGCGAGTCAAAGTAGGATGCCTCTTTTTGGGACCATAACGAAAATAAATCACACTTGACCAGTGGAATACAGCAAAAAGAACCATAATCGCACCGATAGCGATTGCAAAATACTTGTTACTCCATTCATTATGAGACAGACGCAGTGCCTTTGCAGCAGCCTTGGCAGCAGCCTTTGCAGCCTTGGCGTCACTCATCGAAAATTGGAAACAGGCTTGGAATCCAAGTATGACAGAAAATCCCGGGATGGACACAACCCAATGGGGGGAGGCTCTCATTAATTAAGATTCTTCGATTCGAAACGCATCAGATAACAAGCCATGCCAAGAGCGCGAACTCACAGCCCCAGCGACTCCACTTTCTCAAAGGATGTGGATTTGGCTATTTTTCGGTAGTCGTGGGACAAATAGAATGGAGCTTTACCCCGTCGCAAGGTACCCACGAGATCCTTTTTCAGGCCCGACTAGGAAAGGAAGCCGGAATGCAAGAGATTATTCTGCCATTCTGATAGGGTGGGAGTAGAACTTACGCCTAGGCCATTAGGCAAACATGGCCTTCGGAAGATCCATTCGCTTTGGCACTCCCCCGCGTACCTTTCCAATTTTGCATGGCCGCCAGAGAGAGGGAGATTCGAAAACCCAAGATACTACGAAAACAAACTAGGTCTTGTTATAACTATAAATTTCTATACAATTCAGTTGTCGCGTGATACAGGGACCGCTAGGGGTGACGACACACCGAAAGTCAAGATTAATCTAATCAATCAGATAAAGTTTGAAAATTCTTCCGAGTGACGCTACTGGCTTTATTTCATTTACCGGAAAATTACTACTGTATTAATTACTAATGGGACCCCACAAGCGCCCAAATTAACTAGAAAGTCGGATAGAAAGGTAAATTAACCGTGTATTTCCTAAGGTCCATGCCGCCTTGCGCTTAGGAGTTATGGCCTGCAGCAGCGCTAGTATTCAGGGAAGTGTTCACTGCAACCTGTCTGAACATCGTAAGGACTGAGTCAAATGGCGTACCTGAGGTCATAGTTCCTGGCCGAAGCGGAGCATTTCAGAATAAAATAGGCTTCATGCATTTACTGCATGTGGCTAATAAGAGACCATTTAGCAAAGGCCAGAGATCCAGTTTGTCGTCAATCCTCTTTATCAGATGCAACCCAGAGGCTAAATGTGGGAGACCGCAACTTCCCATTGGTTTAGCTCGAGTGGCATGGAGGAAAGGTTTTCACTCCGATGCGAAAACGACCCGGAAAGGGTTACCACGAATATGATTTGTTCTCTGTCAACTTGGGAAATCCTCTCTCGGCCGTGTCTCACCAGGGGGCAGTGCCAGATGGGCCTTAGTCCCTTGATCTTAGTTCATCGCGTCGCCTTGGGGACGAATCATAATGCTCGGCGTTCGCAGAATCTTCCAGTTTCGCGATGAACTAAGAAAGTTAAGAGTGCCAAGTGAAAAGCCAAATTTGATCAGATAAATACAGGTGGATCCCGAGGTCTTCAGAGCTTGCAGCCGGTAACTTTCGGAAATGACAAGCCAATCACCAGAAAGGGGCAGAAAGCTTATCAATCGGATGCACCATTGATTTCCATGACTTCTCTTTTGAAGCCGCGTATACAGATCTTGTTTAATATTTTCACCCACTTCCCACCCTCGTTACCCGCGGTCTTTCTGCACGTGGTATGTAGGGGCCATCTTGGCGGGAGTGGAGCTCCGACCATCTTCCAAGACCCGGAAGCCGTTGCTTATATGAACAGACCCCATAAGTTACCTAGTATGTTGACATAGGCTGTTTGTTTCGACTTCCACAATCAAACCCCGTTGCCAGTTGATTATTGTCACATCATGGAGAAGTTACCATTGGAGACCGTCCAAAATATAACTGCTTTTTTGAGCTAGCATCCACCCAGTCTGCGCGCCTTTGCATGAGTGAGCAGGGGCTGTTATCACGCCGCATCGGTCTATCTATTCTACACTCTACACTTCGAGGTGAAAAGAGGACGGTATTGGCTTGGTCGAGCGATATTCGCAGCAATTGGAACAAGCCTTTGTCTTCCAACACGTACGCCATGTCAGCATTATGGAACACCTGGATAAAGAAATGCCCAATGAACTCTGGATACACCTGACCTGTCCGATAATGCGCCTTTCTGGTCTATCCGAGTTGGCTTTTGGAGGCTCCCATATCCCAATATGTCTCCTCGATGCTTTGCCTCGGCACATCATACATTCTTGGAATTCATACAGTCAGTTACGAATGACCGAATTTATATGCCAGCCATTCGCTTTCCCACGAGTCAAGATGTCTGCAATCATCTCCTTGGCACGCCCGAGCCGTATGATATAGGATGCATAGTCGAGATTCAGCGGGCCTCACGTCGACATGCATGCATCTGATGCGAGATGTGTTGGGGATCAGATCTCCCGGCCAAAGGCCTGCACATTCAATCTCGTAAACCCGCTGTACCACAAAGGCTGTCAATCCTGTTGACCAGATTCCTTCTTGTCGGCGGGAACGACGGAGAAGGGAGAGCGCCTCTTGTCGAACAAAGTGGTCGCGACATTTAAAAGCGAGAAGACACAGGGGTGGGATGACCCCCAAGTTGACCGAGAATGTGGGTGCATCAATATTGTCGGACATCAGGACCGATTCGGCCAACTGAAGGATCCTCTGAAAGTGCTCCAGGAAGTTGTCATATTGCATCTCTCTCGGTCCTGGCCCAGTCTCAACCATTGCTATAATTGGAAGAAGTTCGGCCCACAACTCAAGGATGGTCAGTGCGTTCAAGTCTCGTTGGATTAAATGATGTTTATGAATATCACGGTATGCTCTTAGTTGGCCCTGCAGCCCTAGAAGCTTGCCAACGAAATCAGCTGGGTCTACTTCAGCTGTCGGGCCAATCGATTCGATGCTGGATCTGTGAGCATTATTTTGATACGAGAGTATTCGCACCAGCGTGACGATCAAGTCATTTGCCCTCTGGATTTCATCGGTGGCAGCTGCCTGTGGAGGAAGCAAGAGAGGGATCGGCAGTTGGTCGCCAGTGAGGGCCCCATTACTATTAAAGGAGGACCAGACCATATGGACACCGGCAAAAGCCCTAGTGAGCGTTGCAGCGACATCACTCTTGTTGCCATTCTCCATCAAGTATTGCTCCAACAGTTTATAACCGGAGCGGAGGTGTAGACCAGCCGAGACAGCATCTTCTTGGAAAAGCAGGGTCGAGACCAGCACGACACAAGCAACCAAGACAGTTTCCACTCGTAGACGACCCATCCCCTCTTTGATTAAATTGTGTTGTAAAGAATGAATTGCTTTGTTGATTTGTCGCAGAGAAAACTGCTGATCACAGGGGCTAGGACCAGCCCTTGATCGGACAAAATGATAGTTCATGGAACCCATACCAATGACGGCGTGACGGATGGCGGGTTGGTCTTCACTGGCCTGGTGGACCAATCGTTGCCAGAACTCATCGTAGAAGTAGCCTGCACATTGGAATGAGGTACTTCGTCGAAAAAAGTCCAGAAAATATTGTTCCTGTGTGGTGAGGTCCACTTGATGCGCGGGCACCCGGGAAACCAACGCTACCGCGCCTTCAGGCGCCACGTTGTTCACCAGACGCGAGGCCCGAGTTCGTCGGTCTGGGGTCTCATAATACTCGCATTTTCGGCGGTGTCTGGTACAAACTAAACAGACCGGACGGGTTTCATCGCATTTTTTGTGAAATTTTCTATTGAGCTGTCAGTGAGCCCCGCACTCGGACGATCAGGGGGGCTGTTGGATTGTAACTAGGGGGCTATCGGGGGCCATACTTGCAAGTCACGCAACCAGTGCGCACTTTAGGGCGACTAGCGCGTTTTTTCCTCGCCTTCTCGTCTGCACTGTAGAACACTTGAGCCATGGCGGAAGACGTAAAAACAAACAAGCAGAAGAAGAGGGCGATGATCACCAATCTCAATTGGCGATTATGTAAGGCTCACAGTGATTGATCGCGCAGTTTTGCCAGAGAAGAGAAGAGACTGGAGAAACTGGAGATAGCATGCTCCTTTGGAAGTTCTGAATGTCCATGTATTCCCGATTGGTAGGTCGAACTTGCTGTGCGTTAAGGGGTGGCTTTCTCAAAAATACTCACACAGATGGTAATGGTAGTTCTTCAACTTAGAGACGAAATCTGAACATCGCCTTGAGAGAGCATTGATCTACAGAGCATCTGAACCCTGCATATCCAAACAACCTTTTTGAGGGCGTGCTGCGGTGGTCTTTGTTGCCGACATACGCTTTGGTAGAATCGATTCACAAGACTATGCAAAATATACCTGCTAAAATAAAAGAATGCGTTTATCCGTAAGACCTAACTGCTACACTGTGGGGGATTGACGAAATTGCATAGAGCATACCAAGTCCGTGGTGAAAGACAAAGCAGATCGACAAGAGCACGAATGATACCAGCATTCATCCCGAGCAAACAGGGCAAGCATGCCTTTCGTACTGCAGGTTGCCGCAAAGCCTAAAGGCGTCTGCCCTAGCTCGTTCTCCTGTCATAGATTTAGCCCCAGGTCCACAAAAGCTGAAAAGAACCCTTCTCCATCACCGGCATCAGATGCGGGTTCTTTCTTCAGTTTTACCAAATAATAATGTGCTGGAAATAGAATTACTACGCCTTACCTATTACGGTTAGATAAATGAGGAAGGGGTCCGAATAGCTTCCTTAGGGGATTCTTCTAGTATGGCCTCTTTCAATCCAGCAAACCGGAAAGCGGATCCAAAGACGATGGCTCCGAATTTCTGCAGAGGTATCTCAACTTATAAATGACTGGAGACAACCCAACATCATGGCTACATCTAAGGTTCGACGCCCGATGTCCGTTTGATTTGGTTTACACCTGGAGCGCGTAAAAATCTCACAACTTGACGGATGCATCAAGGGTATCTTTCCTCAAGGATCTCAAGCCGCATGTGAGAAATGGGGGTCGACGGTGGCTGTCTTTGGATCAAACTTCATTTCTGATGTTTTGAAGGAAGCCGGTGTGGATTAGAGAGCATTTGTTGCTTTTACTCAATTCTTATGCCTCTGAGGGAAACTAGCAACATGTGACATTTCCAAATAAGGCGCCCTGTTTACCGACAGACCCAGTTCCGATAGTTCGATCTGACGGTGGCGTGGTTTTCCAATGTATACTAAAGATTAATTGAAGAAACTAATGTAGAGTAATTGATTATCGCGTACCATTTGCTGGCGCGGAGTGGAAGAGGTCACGAGACATCACGTGTCGATTAGTGACGCGCAGCCGAGAGGGAGCAGATATCTTACTCCACGATAACACTCATTTCAAGACAACCACCCATCTTCCCCCTGTGTATTTTAGTTCGCCGTCCCTATGAAGCGCAGCTACGAGGTATTATTTCCAGACAAATATATATAGCGTCCTATCTAAAAATACACAGAATGCCCTCAAACTCCTAGCGACGCGAAGGCGGAAAACCCGACCGAAAACCCCTGCGCTATCTCGTACCCTTCAGGACGCAGGGATTCCTAACGATAACCAAACTGTGAGAGGCGTACCCAGCTTGGTTGGAATGAAAGAGTGGCTGCAACTTTTGGGACACTCGGTATGAATGATAAATGGATCTTGTTTGTACGGTTGTCATTCTGACTAGGCCTAGGAGAGTGATGTCAACGACATTAATATCATCCATATCACTGGGACGAAGGGTAAAGGGAGTACATGCGCGTTCACTCGCTCATTTCTCCATGCGCATGGTTTGAGAACGGGATTTCCAAAGCGGATCGGGTTATATACCTCCCCAGATTTGCAATGCATCCGAGAGAGAATACAGATTGACAATCAACCAATAACGGAGGATCTTTTCACGCAATACTTTTTTGAGGTGTGGGAGAGCCTTGCATCTTTCGGTTTAGGACAGGACGTCGAAACCACGAGACAGCCTCGGTACCTACAATTTTTGGCTTTGTTAGCTTTCCATACATTCATCAGGGAAAATGTTGACGCTGCAGTATTTGAGACTCACCATGGCGGGGAGTACGATGCCACCAACGTGATACAGAGACCTGTTGTGACAGGGATCACCTCCCTTGGGATGGACCACGTTGAGCAGCTAGGCCCTACAATCGAAAGCATTGCTTGGCACAAAGCAGGAATCTTCAAGCCTGGAGCACCTGCATTCTCAGTGCCACAGGAAGCAGGACCCACGAAAGTCTTGTGCGATCGTGCCGCCGAAAGGAAGACTAGTCTGACTTTCGTTCCGACTGATAATCCTCTTCCTACCAATGTCAGGGTGCTGAGTGTCCCAGTACAGCGACTCAACTCCTCCCTAGCCCTTGAGCTAGCTAGGACGTTCTTACAGCTCAAAGCACCTGGCCATACTATGGACTCCGACGATATTTCTAGAGGCATCGATAACTTTTCATGGCTCGGGAGATTCGAGGTTATAGAAGACGGGATGTCTCAATGGTTTTTGGATGGGGCACACAACCCTCTGAGTCTCAAACAAGCAGCGGAATGGTTTTCAAATAACGTCGATGCCCTGAATCCGCGGAGGTTAGTTGGCCAGCTTGTTTCATTCGGGTCTTCAGTTGACTAAAAGTGCATTATATGATCCAGGTGTCGTGTTCTTATCTTCAGCCACTTCTCTGAGGAACGTGATGGAGTGGCGCTAATGGAATGTCTGGCGCATGCTCTTTCGGAATACAATGTGAGGCCAGATCATGTCATCTTCACCACATACCAGGAGAGAATCGATGGATCCACGAGAATAGGCAAGTAACAAAGTTAGTTGTTTAGACAGGTGTCGAGCTAATTATTCCCGTGACAGATAAAACCCTCAAAGAGCCCGAAACACCTTTTCCAGATCTTTGCGCTACATACTCTGCATTGTGGAAAGACTTCGATAATCAAGCTGCAGTCTCAAGCGAGCCAACTATTGAGGGGGCATTGAATCTCGCCAAACAGATCAGTGCCCAAGAAGGTGGAATGCAGACTTTTGTGACGGGGAGCTTACATTTGGTTGGGGGAGCACTTAACCTTCTGCGGCCTTAGAGTATTGGGACTAGGTCTAGGCTATACCGCTCACCGGCATGGTCCTAGAGATCATCCTATGATCCTGCAAGTTAACGGGTTACCGGTTGCTTGTCAATCAAAACACTTGATCTGTAACTATGTAAGAATAAGGAACAATTGGATTTAAATATTATTAGATGGGGGTCTAGATTAAATACATCTCAAATTATTCTTTAAAGGAATAAAAAGTGTACGCAGAGAAAGATAAGTCGCGCTAGCCTAATGAAGCCACCAGCGGAATAGGATACTGTAATAAGCGGATACTAAAGGTTATAAGTGTTTGATGTAATAAGAAAATATCGCTTCTGCTTACCTATGTTAAGTTAGTTCTATAATAGACCTTGCTAATAATTAACGGGCATTCTGTCGTTCGGCTATCAAGCTAGATTATCTGTTCCTATATTCTTTTCTGCATAAGCAAGGTGATGCTTTAGAAGAAGATGCTAATAAGAACTTACTTGTTTAAGAATAGAAGCCAGCTAGATCTTAGTGGGATAGGTATCGCTAGCCACTAGTTGGTCCAAACTATTCGGCAGGTTATTAGCGATGAAGTGGTTCACTCCGTATGAAATCTTAGTATATTTATAATGTTTGTTACCCAATTGGGTACCCAGGGGTTTTATTGGGTCACCCAGTATAACCCAAAACCCATCTTGGGTCCGGGTCAAATTGGGTCGTGGAGAAGTCTACCCGTAACTTAGGGCCTTTTTTTGGCCTCATGAGGTGGGATGTCCGTTCATGCCCGCTTAAGTTTGATTGGTGCTGGGAAGATCCTAAGGACAAGAAACACTATAAAATACGCCCTACATCTAGAACGTCTGATTAACTATGTTAATGGTGGTAGCAGTCTAGATAGTCACGATGATGTCCTTAGTGACATCCGTCGAGATCTAGTTCTAGAAAGTCAGATAGGAAGGAAATTGAAAAAGACTGACATGTTGACAACTGGGCCACTATATCCTCTAACCATAATTAATGTTCTGTTAGCACAAAACGGGGCCACCCCTGCGGTTACTTCGTCGGTACGTAGGCATCCATCTGACGACCACGTCGTCATCCCTAGGTCTCGCGAAGCTGCTGTTAGACAATACTACAAATGATTGGAACTACAATCCACCGACTAGGCGCACAAAGCTGATTTCCGTGGTGTTGGAAAACCACCTAGATCTTGAACTGATTCTTGAGGACCGGACTCTGGCTTCTTTGTTCAACGGGGGATTCAGATTGGGACGGCTCGTCGCTTCCTGTGCGACATTAACGAATGGGCTACTGTTATGAGTTCAAATGGACTTGAGTAGACCAACGGCGAAAGACTCCCCTGTGCCGAAAAAAATACCGTCTTACCTCACTGTGGCTGGCCCGCAATGTTTTGACTGAACGATTTTTCTGGGTGCTGAAGACATATATATTAGCTTTTCTGATTGGAATTGATGTATTTTCTGGGCCCATGAGATTTGTGCGTAGCGAGATACTGAAATTGCATTTCAGCCGCAGAATCAAGTCGTGGAGACCGATTGGAATGTCTTACTAGAGAACCCTAATTCCCGTCATCCGTGTGAGCTAGGAGTAGGCACGCTAACTGGAATTGGAAATTTAGCACATCGTGTCAAGTGTGAGCTATAGTTAACTACATTGACCAAGGACTCCAGAACAGTATGGTGCCCGAATTGCCGAGCTTTTTCTGCGAGTGTTTTAGAGTCATTGTCCTGGATCTTAATATCGCTTGCAGCATTATTAAGTAATTCCATGGTTACCAGTGCGCCATTCGAGTCGCATAATGTATAGCTGTCCATCCATGGATCCCTTGAATATCTGGATTTGCACCGTGTTGGAGAGGTACCGAGACCAGAGGATGATGGCCGTACCTGGCGGCTAGTTGCAAAGTCGTCCAGCCTATTCTAGAGATGGTATTCACATCTGTCCCCTTATTTAATATAATCTGAGCATCCACACACAATTGGTCCTTGCCGCTACATGTAAAGGGGTTTCGCTATCTGCATCTATTCGCATTACTGGTGTAACTGCCTCAAGTAATTACACCTGTATAGCTATATGTGGCCATTCCCTACATATATCGTTTCTGGGCTTTAATATTTTTGTATTTTCACATACTTTGTTTCATCTTGTTTGTTCATCGTATTCCAGATTTGTACATGTAACTTACCGGTTTATCTACTAGCACCATCACCTTACTCGAGTAGAGCTCAGCTGCCTCGGGATGTATATCTCCACAAAATATGTTGTAAACCACCCAACCAAACCAAATTACCCGTCAAGAGCAACCACCCCCAACCGCCCAGCAACCGTACTCATGTCCACGCCCCGCACAACCTGCGTATCATCGGGAGCGTCTACCATGGAAGGGTCTGGATCCTCGGACGCGTCCAGGTACGCCATGTAAAAGTAAACTCCGGCCTCGGAGACAAACTTGGCGCGATCGAGCACAACTGTGAATAGGCTAAAGAGCTCGCAGGACTTCCCTTGTGCTGTGATGATATATTTTTCAGGTTCTTGAGGAGTAATACGTTTTGCTGTTGGGGGTTGATCGTCGCCTGCGGGGATGTTGTGTAGGGCGCCGATGGGGAAGGGATTTTCTTGGTCCTCTTCTTGAGTTTGCTGGGATGGAATTTCGAGAACTTCGGTTTGGGCGGGGCGAATAGCCGACCAAGAAGGGGACTTTGGGATGAAGAATTTGAGAGTGAGGGTTTTATTGGCCGGGAGGTGGGAGAACATTGACGTTGTGAAGAGGCGCGCTGTGTTTTCCAAGAGGGAGGGCCCTGCTGTGTCGCAGATGGAGCTGAGAAAAAGCGCATGGACAAGGTATTGAATATCAGCGGTTTTGCCCTTAGGAGTGTTGGTGACTGTTACAATGTCGGCATCCTGAGAAATCTGGAATGCCGGATCCAGAGAGAAGCCGCCAACTGAAATTTCCTGGCCTAGCTGGTCGCGAATCTGCTCTTCTGACGGCAGCTCCGAGCTGGGAGGCTCACCCTCGTCTACATCCAAGGCGTATCGCTCCGGAGGGCGACCGACGTTGTTAAAGATATCGATCATAAGAATCTGGCCGATGTCAATCTGTTCCGTGACGCGATCGGTGGCCAATTCAAATGCCTCTGACGAGAGACTCTCGTCGCCTTCGGATGAACGCTGCGCCTCGTCAACATCACTGCGCGTGCTAGAAAACGAGCGGTTGAAGTAGAGCAAGTCCGGGCCTTCGCCCAGCTTAGCAAGCTCATCCGAGTCCTCAACATGGCCCAGTCGGTAGCTGTGCGATCGCAGCAGGACACAAAACCCAACGGTTGAGTAGTCGCTAGGATGGGTGAATCGCGGAATCAGCGGGAGTGGGTTCTCGACCCCTGACCGGTGTTGCTTCTTGCGACGGGCAATTTCAATGCGGTTATGCTCAATACAGGCAAAGTCGTCGGGCGGGCAGTATGAATAAAGCTCGAACAAAGGCTTGACCTCATCATCCCAGAAACTTTGCATCAGGAAACGCCGGAGATTTTTGTGGTCGTCATCCAGGGGTACAAGGCTGTAGACCTGGATGGGAATTATGTGGTCGGGGTGTGGCTCGTAGTCTGGCTCGACGTACTGCTCGAGCACCACGCGGTGACCCAGATGGTCAGCGTAGGTGCGCACTTGCTGCCATTTACTCTGGGACATGGCGACTTGGGCGTTTGTAGTATTTGAAGAGGAAACGGAGTTAAAAAAGACTTGTGAAGTAATAGATTCCGCGGCCAGCGTAGCGACAAACATGCTCAACAGTTTTCACAACATTAGGATCGACCTCATGGTCGGGATTGGCTAAAATTAACAATAGCGCAGCTATTATTCTAATATATTCCACACATTGTTACTGGCATACTTCGGCTACAATTTACCATTAATGACTTTCCAGATCAACAAGATGTCCATTCCATAGATCACCCGTTGAATGAAACTGCGTTTAAACGACTTCACTCAAAATGTGCATCAGAAAAGCTAGACCATGAACTTGGACTTAGTTCTTGCATACAACAGCTCCGACCTTGCATAAAATCTAAGCAGAAACCCAAGATATGTTTCTCAATTCTACTGGAAGTCATTCTCCCGGTGAGCTCGCCGTATATGCCCATCTCTGTTGTCTTTCCGGTTGAAAAGTCCGTTGCAGCCTCTATGGGGGCATTTGAAGGACTGAGGAGAAACATGTTTTGTTTCGAGGTGTCGCATCACTGATCCCTTCGAGGAGAAGCGCTGGTGGCAGTTCCTCCATTCACATGCGAAAGAAGGTGCGCGGACACTGGAATAACAGAATCCCAGTTAGAAAAAAACGATGACCAGTTTGCGCGTTGAACTCTGCGACTTACTCGGATTCCCCTATCGTATTAGTAGACCCGGAGGATTTGTACTCGAGTACTCGGGAATGATTGCTCATTTGCCCCATGCCATCTGTTGAGGTTATGGACGGCAGGGATTGAGGCCAAATGGCACTAGAGCCTGTGACATTTTCCGCCCCCCAAACCTTCGGTCGGTTGGACTTGATAATTAAGGGCAGTACGATCTACGCCTTCAGAGACTACTCTCTACGTCTACCACAGGGCATGGGAGTGGTTGGTGTGTGTGTCTTCTTTGTTGACATCGACCCGTCTGCTGTGCCAGACTGCCATCGTGCCATCCCCATTTCAGTATAGCCGTGTCACGGGACGACCCCTACCCTCCTGTGACACGGCTATAGTAATAGTGAGGTAGTATATATAGTAATAATAGAGTATATATGATAAACGTGCATAAGGATAATGCAATATATTGACGAGATTATGAACATATATCCGTAAATATCCGTGCTCAGGCTTCATCTTCTACTGAACAACTTACCTATGTACATATTTCCAGATAATGGTGAGACCTTTGTCTTTCTATCCCGTAGTCAACACAAGTTCAACTGCACCCGAGCCTCATCCCTTGAGCATTCCCCGTCATCCTCTTCAATCTTGGCCGGGATTGGTTTGTTTGCCAGAGGGGTTAATCTAAAACCGTGCCTACGATCTCCAACGGGGTAATCGAGAGTCTGCGAGTGATTGGTGACTCGCTGGTCCCATACAAGTACAGTGCCAGCTTCATAACGGATCCGACAAGAGAAATCTTGTCGCTTGGCGATGTGATCGAAAAGGAATTTGAGGATGCAGTCCGACTCTTCCTGGTCAAACCCGACGATTTTCTTCGTGTAGACTGGGTTTACATCTAGAAATATCATTATTAAAACCGGCAAGATTGCGGAAGAATGACCGAGAGAAACGTACAAAGGGCTTTTTGCTTCGTAACAGGGTGAACAAGTACAACGGGGTGTTCAGCCTGAAGCACTCCACGCCGCATCACGGCTTGTTGACCCTGCTTGAGCTCTTGACTGACACCGTCGTTATTTGTGTGAATGGCTGTCAGGCCTTCAAGGCGCTTGCGGAAGCGAGGCGAGAGACTGCTATATGCCCTCACGCTGGAACTTACAAGAGTGTCTCCGCCAGCGGTAGTTGGGGACTCGAGCATAGCAATGAAAGTGGTTCCAGGGGGTTGCTGCTCGGGACTCTGGTCTGTGTGCCATTGAACTGGGCTACGACCGGCCCAAGATTGGCGAACACGGAGATCACTAGGAATAGTGTTAGCTATGTTGGACTTGTAGCGTTCTCGAAGTATTAATCATCCTTACTCCATGTGATCGTAGATAATCATGTGCTGTTCAGATCCCGCAGCAGGATGAGGGGCCCAACCGTGAATGTGCAGAGGACCAAAATGACTGACAAGTTTCTTTTGTGCCTCGAAGCCAATATCCACAAAATCTTGATCGCGGAATACCAAGGCACCTCTCTGCGCAGCAAGAAGGGCTAGTTCATCCAAACCGGCGCTGTCGAGTTGAGACAGCTGAACTCCATGAACCTCAGTTCCCACATGAGGAGATAGGTCCCAGACTTTGGTCGCGGTCTTCAGAAGATTGGGCAACTTGGGATCAGCGCGGTGACCAGGATCGAAATGCTCGAAAGCACCGATGTCGTCTACCTTCTCGAGAGGATCATAGAATGCTGTTCAATCAAATTTTAGCCTTCACCCCACGGTTTTCATAAACAGCTCTTAGCTAGACTGACGCATGTAACCAGGATACAGAGGGTCGCCATTCTCGTTCTTCTCTCGTGTGATTGTGCCCGGGGTGATGATTGTTGTGCTCGACATTCTGTCGCCGCCTCAAATAACCGCCGTTTGGCCTACTTTGATGGTCCAGCTGAGTTTATAAGGCTTATATAACCCTTTGGGAGATCATCTAAAATAAATGAAATTAAGGGCCGGTATTTCGCATTCTACAACTGAAGTATCACACTATTAGAGTTGGCCGTTCGGTCAGCTCGGCGTACTCGGTGACGCTCCGATAAACCCCATATCTTCCTTATCAGCGCTATCCTTTCAGAGCGGCCAAAGGATCGAGACTAATAGAACTAAATTTAGATAACGTCAATTTGTTTTGCTACAGCTGCAGTGAATTTCGATGATTCATGCCCGACAGGACAACCCTCGTGCACTTGTGCACAATATCAGATCCAACCAACCACATACTTTCTATCTTCTGAGAGATATCAAGCTCTCACTGGAGAGATAACCATGGGAATTTTCAAAGTCTCTTAAAGCTTGCTTTCCCTCGCGATAGATAAATTCAGAGTTGAGGTAAGAAATTAATTTCTGATATCTCACTATGGAGTTGACTAATTCTTCGTCACCATCTTCCATGACTGACACGGAGAAGACAAGCGACATAGTAGCTACCGTGTCCGATGGAAACCCAGCAGCAGAGTACGAACGCTTTCTTCACTTTGAGAATGTGTTTAGCGGGGCTTCAAAGAAGAAACTGCTCAGGAAATGTAAGACTTGTGCAACGATGAAATACCCTTTGCTCACTTTGAAATCAGTGGACCTACGACTTCTTCCAACACTGAGTTTTCTATATTTGATGTGCTCGCTCGATAAATCCAATGCAGGCAATGCCAAGGTTAGCCCAGATTTTACCCTTTGGAGCTTACTCCAAAAAAACTGAAACATTTCCATCTATAGCTATTCGGCCTCCTGGAGGACCTTGGCATGAGTAGTACCCAGTATAACCTGGCCCTTATGTACTTTTTTTTCACCTACGGACTCGCTGAGCCAGTATCAAATATCATGCTTCGAAGAGTTGGTCCTAAGATATGGTTTCCCTTCATTGTGTGTGCATGGGGACTCATCACAACTCTCACCTCGCAAGCAAGCTCTTATGCTGGCTTCGTTGCTATCCGTTTGATGCTAGGAATTACCGAGGCTGGACTCTACCCAGGAGCCTACTTCATTCTCTCCATGTGGTATACACCGAAGGAGATCGGCACGCGCATGGCCATTTTCTACGGTGCGAACACCACTGCGGGTGCGTTCGGCGGTGTCATTGCCTACGGTGTCGGATCTCTTGATGGAAATCTTGGCTGGAGAGCTTGGAGATGGCTCTTTCTCATTGAAGGATGCATCACCATCTTTGCCGGGCTTTTGTGTCTGTTTTGTTTGCCGTGAGAGCTCCAACTCCTCATTGCTTTCATCAGAAAGCAGACTAATTGGATATTACCAGTGCGTTCCCTCATCAATATCAAGCAGGCAAAAGTACCAAATGGCTTACGGACAAGGAACTTGAATATGCTTCTCTCCGTGTCAAGTATGCCAATGGCCCGGTGTCATCGACTTATACCTTCCGCTGGAGTGATGTGATCTCGGCTGCAAAGGATCGGAAAACCTACTTCATGTAAGTCCAATCTGACGTTTCATTGACCGCTAATAGCTAATTCACTTCAAGGATGATGCTATTTTGGTGGGGTGGGTCCGTCCCTACGTACTCCCTGTCTTACACTCTGCCCACTATGGTCACAAACTTGGGATATACAGCGGTGAGAGCGCAAGCCCTGACCACCCCTCCATACATATTTGCCACATGTGTTTGCGTTGCCGTTGGATATATCAGCGATCAAAAGCAGCAACGTTATCTATGCATCATGAGCGCCTATACCCTGGGTCTAATGTAAGTTAATCTCTACCAAGATGGAGGATCGCGCTAATGGAAATAATTTAGTGGCATCATCATTTTGTGGATCACAGTTCACTACCCATCTCTTCCCGGTGTGAGCTACTTTGCTATCTTCCTGGCTGCTGCTGGATACGCAGCCCAAGCCCCTATTGTAAGTTCTACTTGTGAAGTTCAATTTTGGAACCTCGACTGACCATTGAATGCAGGTCGGCGCATGGACAAGTTCAAACATCACAAATCCGTCCAAACGAGCCGCTGCTATTGGTCTTCTGATGCTCTTCGGCAGTGTCGGCGGTGGCAGTATTGGATCGAATATCTATATCTCTAGTGAGGTCAGTTGGTCTAAAAACCTAAAATCACGAGTTTGGCTAACATCTCCTAGGCGCCCACCTATCCTCTCGGATTTGGCTTCTCAGTCGGCGCAACTGTGCTTGGAGCCATGATCCCCGCTACGGTACACTGGTATTTGATGCGCAAGGAAAACAACCGACGGGATGAATTGAATGTTGCTGAAATTGAGAGAACATATACTACCGAGGAGCTAGGAGAGATGGGCGAGAATAGTCCATTGTTCCGATTCGTGCTGTGACATTGATTCTAGATGATAACCGTAATCGCTTGAACATTTGAAAACATATTTACCACAAAGTCATTCTATAAAGGCTATTCTGCGCGTGTAAAAGAGGAAATTTTAGTGATTGAAAGTTAGGATATCAATGGTTCGCTTTTGATATTGATCAAAGATTTACATCCCACCCTCCAAAAGATTGCTAATTCTAGATCACATAATAATTTAGATCTAGCAAGAAACAGGGCCCCACAATGCAAGTGTAAAGTCGATGGAAACTAAATGAATGTACCCACTTAGATAACGGCGTCTTGTGGAACGTCACCATCGATTCGATAAGCTGCCCGCGCCAAGCAGGTCCGCCGCGCTCAAGATCTGACCCAAGCTTCCTATCTTTGCTTCACCTTTATCGGCTGTATCCAGATATCATGATTAGAGAGAGCCTTAATTTCAAAGTCAAAAAGGGGTGGGGAGAATAGCATAGACTAAACATTCTCCTTGGCCGAAGACTTCCCAACAGATACTTTGCCACGCACCCTCGAACATCAACCACCAAATATGCGGCCACTACCTATGGGAATTTATACGCCTTTGCCGTGTTTCTTCGGCGATAATGAGGATATTGGTGAGACTGACATATTATCAATGGAATTATAGCTTAGCTAATATGATGTAAAGATTTCGAGGCTTTCCAGAGACATGTGAAATGTAAGAGCAAAGAAAGCAATAGAGCTGTGTCAAGTATTAACGAGATTGAAAGTCATTGCGAATGCCGGAACCATACCAGTAGTTTCTGGGTCTATGGGCGAGGCTATCCATTTGGTGATAATGATTCTTCCACAACAACAAGTTTCCAAAACTAATTGATTGTCTCATTCCAGAACCGCGAAGAGAAGAAGAGCCTTATACAATTTGCTCGTATCGCTCTGGATGAGGTGAATCTGCAGGACATCCCAATTGTCGCAGGTGCTGGAGGAGCTAGTACTCGCGAGTCTGTTCAACTTTGCAAAGATGCTGCAGAAGCTGGCGCAGATTATGTGATGATTATTCCTCCAGGGTACTACGCCCAAGCCCTTTTGGCGGATACCACCTCGATCAAGAAGTTTTTCGTGGATATCGCAGAGGCATCGCCCTTGCCAGTGTCTGTATTACCCCGGTCCTCAAAGTGACAGGTTCTTAACACCTTGCAGCATCATATACAACTTCCCGGCCGTGTCAGGAGGAATTGACATGGATAGCGATCTAATTGTGCAGATAATTAAGTCTTCCGCTAATGTTTGCGGCGTGAAACTGACGTTCGTTTCCATTCTTCACTTCAATAAATTTGGCTAATATAGTCCTGCAGATGCGCTAATGTGGGCAAGTTGACTCGAATCATGGCTCAAGTTTCGAGCCCAGAATTCCAGAACGCTTTCCCTCGGTCGTCAACAACTCCCTTTCGGGCCATCGATGGTTTTATTGACTTCTTGCTTCCATCCATTTCCGTTGGATCAGCGGGTGCGATCAGTGGCTTGCCAAACATAGCACCGGTAAGAGTCTACGTTGATTCCGATGAAATAGACAACTAGCTGACGAGTGGTCAGAAATCCTGCGTGAGACTGTGGAATCTGTGCCAAAACAGCGAGTCCAGCAAAGAAGCAACTGGGCTACAGCAGTTGATTGCTCTTGCAGATGGAGTGGCACTAAAAATTGGAGTGAGTGAAAATTTGAGACAATTTGATATTTTCCGATTCTTATGCTGAGATAACTGCAGATTGCGGGGATGAAGAAGTTGTTGCATCGTCACTTTGGGTATGGAGATAGACCCCGGCTGCCACTGTTGCCGATGGACGACAATGTGGCGGACGCAGCTCTATCGAGCCCGCATCTGAAAGCATTGTTGGATTTAGAAGCCACGCTGGGAAGGGAACAAGCAATAACAAAGTCTGAGCCTGCAAAAGTGTGTTCCGCCCCCGCTTGCCTCTGATAAGCAGGCGTCTGTGCTGGAGATAAGACTCCGTTGTTACTCAACCTCCTTTCTTTCCCTTCAATATTTTCCTAGCTTAATGTTATAATGGAATGTTCTGCTACTGCTCCGGGCCTGAACGGCCGTTTGTACAAGTCTCGAAAATGTCGGCCTTGCGACGCTTGTCGCAGACGTAAAGTCACTTGTGACATGCCCAATGGACCGCCATGCCATCGATGTACCGGCAAAGATCAACAATGTACGTTTGAAGAGGGCCCAGGACCGCGAAAGAGGGCTAGAATATGTGAACAAGGCGAGACACATGAGACTTGCGAACATCTTGACGGGTGGCTGCATCCTTTAACCGAGAGCCGACCGAGCAATGGGCAAAATGATGAAGCTTTATCGCCAGAGGGCCTTCTAGGTGCTATTCTGGAGTTGGAACCAGGAAGCCCACAGACAAGCCACTCATCTATCAGCCAAGATGGCACGGCGAGACGAGACTCGCGAAGCAGCATCTCATCTAGTTCGGGAAGACCTCCAAGTCGAAAACGACTAGCATCCAGTGACTCGCCTTCTCAAATCGATTCCCTTGAATCTATTCCAGGGGCATTCAGTTTCTATATCGGACCAACCGGAGTTTCCGATATCCATATCCTGAGCCACCAACCATACAACGACCAGAATGTCTCAATACCAAAAGTAAATGGCTTGAAATATCGAATCATGGACAACCCATCTCAGAAACAGAGGAAAACAGTCGATTTCTCCCCACCTACTGTTTTTGGTATCACCGACCATTCTCTTCTAGAGAAGGCTGAGCCAAAACTTGATCCGCAACTTACGGATAATGCATGGCCTCGCCTATGGGCTATGATGGATCCTACTGAAACGTGGCATCTCATCAAGCTGTATTCGCGTTATGTTGACCCCTACTTTCCGATTCTTTCTAGCCATCAAATCCCATCATCACCAACCGAGTTGAGTAAAATGCCATTGGCATTATTGTCAGCAATTTGTGCCACCTCGCTTCAATTCGTCATGTATGACGATAGTCTCTACACATTGCTTTTAAACCCTCCCTCTAGTGAGCAATTATATCGTCTTTGCTGGCTTTCTGTATCGCAGGAACTTCACGCACCTTCTCTCGCAACACTTCAAGCCTGTCTCCTCCTTCAACAGCGACTTCCTACGAACATGTATCTCTCCGATACCGCTTTTGCATGGTCACTCATGTCAACCTCCCTGGCCGTTGCGCAAACGGTCGGGCTTCACCGAGATGCAGGATCATGGTCCTCTATTCCGCCTTGGGAGAAAAGGCTTCGGCGTCGACTCTGGTGGGGTCTCTATGCCATGGAGAAGTGGGTCGCCCTAGCACGAGGAATGCCCAGCCACTTAGGTGATGATGATTACGATGTATCTATGCTCAAGCAGGAAGATATACAAGATACCTTGTCAGACTCTCCGGATACACAGAGCCACATCTACCATTTGTCGACATTATCGACAATACTATCGGATATCCAGCGATCCTTCTATTCGGTGAAGGCGATCGGAAAGACATCAAATGACCTCCAATACTCCTTGGACTTAGCAAGGCCAATGCGCGTGAGGCTTAAAGACTGGCGTGATAATTTGTCAAGTAATTTGAGACCAACCTCTAATGCTGGTTCTGGCGAGGACCTCGATGGGAATGGATCACTTTATCTTTCATACATCGTCACGCATGTGGCTCTCCTTCGCGCCTTGTTACGACCATTGGATCGATGGCCGGCAATAATCAAGATAACTGAAGAAGAGCCGGATGCAACCTACGAGGGCGCCAAAGCAGTGGTTAAAGGGGCGTTGTTATGTGTGAAAGAATTTGTTGAGTTTGTCGAAAAGCTCACGGGAGCTCAGTGGAATGCATTCTGGCATAGCTGTGAGTATTTCGATCCATTAGCCAGAGTTCCCGATTTAACGAAGTAATCAGGGAGTCGACCTAATTTCGCCATCGCTGGCTCCTTCATGGTGCATCTTCTACAAATCGTCTCACCCTCCAACCAGGCCGAGGGCGAATCAAGGCCCGAGTTTTTAAAATACTCATTCGACCAAGAGCATACCGAACTTCAAGACTGGATTCGGAGATGGCGCTGGGCAACTCGTATTTCGGCAAATGGAGCAGCAGGGGTCAAAGGCTTGACAAATCTCGGATTCATTAAGGTAGAGACTCTAATGGGAAATGGAACATAATGTAGTATAGTAAACAATAATCCAAACATTCGACAAAACTAGCAGAGATTAAGCATCATCCTTCCTTCATCCTTAGCACACTCCCCATCATCCTCTTCAACCAAACTCGGGATCGGCACATTAGCCAAGGGGGTCAACCGGAAAGCATGTCTCCGAGATCCAGCCGAATAATCCAAAGTCTGCGAATGCTGCGTCACTCTCTGATCCCAGATCACCACCGTACCAGCCTCATATCGCACACGGCAGCAGAAATCATGCCCGCGATTGATGTGGTCGAACAAGAACTTCAGCATGTAGTCTGACTCTTCCTCGTCCCAGCCAACAATACTCTGGGTATAAGAAGAGTTGACAAATAGCGCCTTCTTTTTGGTGACGGGGTGTACGACTACGACTGGGTGGATGGCTCGACTAATGGGACGGCGAAGGACGGAATCAGGGCCGTTGTCGCGGATCTCGCGCATGATTGGGTTCGCCGTGGTGTGGACGGCTCTGAGGCCTTCAAGTCGCTTGCGGAATGAAGGAGAAAGGCGTTCAAAGGCACGGGTCATCTGCAGGATGTTGTTTAGCTGACTGAATCTTGCTTGTCTTCTTTGGTGAGACTCACGTTTGAAATGATCGTGTCGCCTCCCACTCCTGGAGGGGACTCTAGCATGCAGAAAAATGTCGCCCCGGGAGGCTGAGACTCGGGAGACTATTTAAAAGACCTGTGAGTCTTTTTTTTTTTTTTTTTCCATTATGAACCGCAGTATTGAAACTTACCTGATCGACATGGAACTGAATTGGGCTCTTTCTTGCCCAAGATTTGCGAATACGCAGGTCCCTATTTGGTGGGAAGTCATGTGTTAGATATAGAACAGGAAGGCAAGATACCAAATGGGGAACTTACTCCTTGGAATCATACACAATGACGAACTCCTCAGGACCATTTTGAGGATGAGGCATCCATCCATGCTTATGAAGGGGGCCAAAATGACTAAAATATGTGAGAAATCCTTCATTAAGTGAGCACAGTAAACTCACGAGGCAATCTTCTTCTGCTTCTCAAAGCCCAAATCGGCAAATTCCTGGTCCCTGAATACGACACATCCGCGTTCTGCCACCATGAGGGCCAGTTCATCTAGACCTTGGGTTGAAAGCTCCGACTAAATTCACCTTTATTAGGTTTTTTTTGGCTGGAAAAGAAGGGGCATAAGTCTCACAAGCTGAACACCCTGAAGCTCTGTTCCACAATGAGGGCTGAATTCCACGGCGTTAGTCGCTTTCTCCAAAAGATTCGGGAATGATGGATCGGCTCGATGGCCTGGGTCATCGTGCTCGAACGGCCCGACCATCTCGACCTTTTCGAGGGGGTCATAGAAGGCTATAATCGGTGTTACTCCGTGGAACAATCATTTCTTTGGACATTAGACTCACGCAGGTAGTCAGGGTAGAGTGGCCCCTTTTCTTCGACTGTTTCGGACACCATCTTGACGATGCAATAGGAAGCTCAGAGGCCGTTCAAATCAATGACTTTAATCGTCAAAGGCATCTCAGGCGCTATGATTTTAAATCAACAACCATGGCGCCGAATTATGCTTATTGTAGCCCTTGATGAATGGCCTCATACATTATCGTGCAGATTGCCGCCGATGGATTGCTTGCCCGCGCGGCCAACTACAAACCAACCCCACTTGCAACCCCACTCGTTATCGATGGTGGTTGATAAGGGGTCCACAGGGGGTGCACAGGCAATCATTGGCCCCGGGGGTTGGCCGAGATGGTGGGCTTCATGCGACTGTTGGGGGCGATAAGGCTATCAAGAAATAAACTACCGATAACCAAAATTCAAAAAGATGAACATTGCATATATTGTCAGGCCATGAGTAAAACTGAGGGCCTTCACTGGAAGTACCAAAACTGAACATCAGAGCAAAAAAAACCATTGCAGAATTAGAAGATGGCTGCTGATCAAGTCACCATCAGCGATGAGCCCAAGGGACCCAGCATCACAGCCGAGGCAGCTGTCAAAGCCATTAAGGCCGGACGAAACAAAGATGTTGATATTGCTGCACAGATAATTAGCGACTATGCGAATCAAATGGATGGTGAAAGTTGGTCTGTTGAGGAAGAAAGGAAATTGATCCGCAGAATTGATTGGAGACTGATTCCCACTGTGAGAAACCCTTTTGTCACCGCGAATATCTTTCAATACTAACATAGAATAGCTCTTCGTTTGTGCTACTCTATCAGGGCTTGATAAAACTGCTATTTCGGCAGCTGCCATTTACAACATCAAGACGGATCTTAATCTTACCGGGGATCAGTATTCATGGCTTGGATCAGCACCATTTTTCGGTGGACTGGTATTCATGGGTCCTTTGGCCTACTGTTTGCAAAAGTGAGACACCTACTATGGTTTCATTTGAAAACTTCAGGGTGAACTCATATCTAACTTACCTAGGGTCCCGGCTGTGCCGTTCTTCGCTTTCAATGTCCTCTGCTGGGGTATCCTTGAAATGTGTATGGCAGCATGCACCAGTTTTGGAGGCCTTTTTGCGTGTAGATTTCTTCTGGGTGGCTGCGAATCACTATTGATTCCAGCTGTCACATTGGTTGTCTCGATGTGGTATCGACCTGAAGAACAGCCAAAGAGAAACAGGTACCAGGTGACCTATCACTGACCATTAACACACTTAGACTGACGTGGATCTGCAGCATCATTCTTAATGTGGTCGCTCCGATTATCAATGGCTTTGTCGCTTGGGTTGTTGGGTATTACAATGGGCCATTCGAAACATGGAAGATTATTTTCCTTTTAGTCGGAGCTCTCACTGTCGTCACATCTGTCGTGGTGTATTTTGTACTGTACGATACCCACATTGTCGAAAAGAAAAGGAAATGACTGACAAGATCGAATAGGCCAAACAACCCGCTGGAAGCCAAGTTCCTTACCCCCCGGGAAAAGTACATCGTCATTCAGCGCAAAGCAGCCGATAACACCGGCATCGAGTCAAAGACCTTCAAGATGGACCAAGTCTGGGAAGCTATCTTTGACATCAAGACATGGCTGATTTGGATTGCCATTGCTGCTTTGCAAGTACCAAATGGCGGGTTGACAACATTCAACACCCTTATCATCTCAAACCTTGGCTTCGATTCCCTTCAGACCTCGCTTCTCGCTATGCCTCCTGGTGCCATGAGTACTCTGTCCGGAGTCGGTCTGTCTTATCTGGCTGCTACTACAAGACGGTATCGTACAGCTATTGTGACAGCCTCTATTCTTCTGCCCCTTCTTGGTGCGGTGCTGTGTTATGCGTTGCCGCGAACGAACCTTGCTGGTCAGCTCGTTGGGCTATAGTAAGTTCTATAAAAACTTGGATTGTCTGCTTATGCTAACTTCAGCTCTTCATAGCATCTTATAGTAGGCCAAAATGATTCCCAGAGCGTGTTATGCTTGCTAACTTCCCCAAGTACATACTGGGCTCCCTATATCACCCTGGTCTCGGTATACCAGGCCAACATTGCAGGTCACACAAAGAAGTAAGAAACTCCCTGGAAACATAAGTTTGAGTCTAATGTACTTTAGGATTACACTATATGCCTGGTTCTATATTGCGTGGGCCACCGGAAACATCATTGGACCCCAAACATTCCGAGCAGATCAAGCCCCTGAATATACCGGTGGGACTGTGGCGATGATTGTCTGCTATATCATTGCAATGTTTGCTATTACAGCGTATGGCCTTGTCTGTTATTTCAGCAATAAGAAGCGCGAGGATGCCATTGACGGTCGCATGGCTGCCGACCATGACTGGCTGGATATAACGGATAAAGAGAATGAAGGTTTCAAATATACTACCTGAGGCTTTTGATTAGATTTTAATGGAAATTACCGCGAGCACTGTAATCAAGAAGTACTGAAATCTCTATGGAACTACGCTAGCTAGGTAAGAACTGGCTAACACGAATCATGGCCGAGCTAGTCTAATCAGTCAATTGAGCTGAGTAATCCGATCCCGATCATCTTCGGTTCCGAATTAAGGCGATCACCCGTAGCTAAGGTCAATAAGGCTCTTGCGTAGTGTGTCGACCCTAGGGCAAATTTACAGCCTCGCTATATAGGGACGATTGTCTAAAAAGAGTGTAGGGCGAATGCGCCTATATACGCAGAGATCAACTAGCAGGCCGGTGTCGTAGACTAGAGGAAAGGGCTGTCTTATCTCGAGCGCTATGGTCGCATTAGTCGGAGCTAAGGAAGAGAACAGGGCCGGACGAGAGAGGGCAGCGTAGATTGCCGGCACAAAATCGCAGAGGAGCCGACGAGTCATACATAGGGGAAAGGGGGTGGCGGAGCTTAGGAGCTCGGTGATCCGTATCAATAGCAAAAATACCTTACCTATGAGAATTAGGAAGAAGGAAGGCGAACAGGAAAATCTAGGCTGTTTGGCAGGAGGAGTGTAGCAGGGGACTATATAGAACCACGCACGGGCATCGGGCATGCATAGGGACCGTCAGCGCTAAACCGTAACAGATAAAACTAAACCCGAAGCAGCCTCCACCGTGGTCGTCCGATATGGTGTAAAAGGAAGCCTAAGTGGAATGGCCACGCATTGGCGTAGTCATAAATCTCAAAAACCGTGGTGTTTCCACATCGATATTCTGGCTAACTAAGCATGTCCTAGTGTTCGCGCTATACCTAGTTAGAATTAGGAGGCGCCTACCAACACATCGAGATAGCCTTTCAAGATGATTGGCCGAAGAGTCCTAACAGAAGTATAGAGCGCTTCTATCATGGGTGCAGATGAAACGTTCATAAAAGGGCAGAGACTGCCTTCTGGGAATTTTGTCTTTCGATCATTCTCTCATCTAGAAAAAATCAAGAAGGCCAAGGATGGCGACCGATTGGAATGCCTTTGTTCAAGAGTCGGACCCTGAAGTCCAAGATGACTTTGAGAAACCAACGAAAGATAAAATACAGGCAATGCACAATACCTTTCGAAGGTTGCTACGTTTCCCTCTTACGCTTGACTCCCCAGCTAACTTTGTTATAGGTTCACAAGCAATCTTGATCCACCAGATCATACATATTGGATCCGAGCCGAAAATCTCACGTTAAGAGTTATCGAAGGCTTCTTTCGCTGGTATTATGGGGACCATAACTTAGAGTACGAGTCGGGCTTTCTTACCATGACTCGTTACTGGAGAATGTGGCTTCGTGAAGAGAGAGATAATCCGCTGCCAAAGGAATTGTCGCGGAAAGTCACCAAAGTGAGTTGACAAAATCATCTCTTTATTATCACATTAGCAAGGGGCTTTCGCTTACGATCGCAGCTTACACTTAGCCTTAGCAAAGAATGGGATCTTGACAAGGGCGCAAAAGAGCAGCCTCCGATCAATATCGATGATCTCTTATTCACCACGTGGCATCTTCTAGCAGCGTGCGATTTAGCGTTTCCCGCCTTTCGAATACTTCTTCAATTGAATACCTTACGGAAGATGATGTGCTCCACAACTGCCCGGCCGGGGACATTGATTGAATCGAACGCGCATGAGAATATTGGTGATGCCTTGAAATGGAAAGATGTGGCTCTTTTTATGGTGAAACATCCAGAGGATCCCAATCGCCGCGAACTTCTCATGAGGGTCAGGCACCGGCTTATGAAAAGAAGACGGAACAAAGGTACCCCGTAAGTGACGCAATGGATTTAGCCGACTACATACAGTGTTCTGACTTTCTCAGACCCTATTATACGTATACCGAGCGGAATGACAGTCTTGGTCTTTGTGTCATTCAAGACATCCTAACCTACGCGTTCCTCGACGACGCTTTTGACAGTCCCTACCTTAAGACCCCTCGGGACATTTGGAGACTTACGGATATTCCGGAGCATCGTCTTAGTACTCCAATTCATTTCAAAAAGAGCATTCGTGAGGTTTGTATCATGCGACGGACCATGTATGACGAGGCTCATGGTGTCATCATGAATCCGGTTCAGCCCTGGAAGTGCAAACAAGCGGAGAAATTCGAAAAAGCTGCGAGCGCTCTAGCCGGATTCAAAGACGAAGGGACATTCTACAAATACCGCAAGGGCGCCGCTGCAGAAGTCAGTAAGTTGAGGAAGAGCAATTTAACCTCGACGAGCACAATTCTGACCTAGTTCTATAGGACATCTAGATGAATATTCACGGAACATTGTCATGGGCCATGAGAACGGAAAAACGTTTGCCAAGTATGTGAGTGTGAGAGATGACGTCCAGTCTGCCTTTATGGGGACACCAGCGAGGAAGGCTTTACTTGACCTGTCGTGCAATGCAAGCCTTACCCGAGATATTTCTGCGCCAAACAGTCTGAACGAGGCTCAGAAATTAGGCCTCGAATTGGATCCCGATTTGACCAGATTGAAGGAAGCTACTGCTCTTCTTCGTCGCGCCCTCATCAAAGATTTCGGGCAGTTAGAAAAAGCCAGGAAATTTGGAGAGTCTCGATACCGAGAATTGAGAAGGCTTCAAGAAGCCATCAGGACACACCGAAAACGACTGTTTAATGCCGCGAAGAAGCGCAATCGAGATCATTTCTTCGATAATATCGGAAACCGCATAATTGAAGCCAATCACCAAGGAAATCCGATCAAATTCAATCCCGACCTGTCCCATATACAACCCGAAAGAAAGTATCTAGCCGATCTCGAGTTTAAAAACAGGGATACGGACAATCTAGACCGCGCAACTTTGATCGAAGATCGCATCCGATCCCTAGAGCTCAGGCTGCAACTTGAAAAGCTCCACATTCCCCAGGGCCTCCATAGAAAGATCGATTTCAGTAAAATGGAAAGGAAAATTGCTGATGTCAAGGAAGAAGACGCCAAACAAGCCAATTCTACCGTCTGGGAAAGCAAATCTGGTCTCGAATGTCCAATTTGCCTGGGACGTTCAAGAGCCGATCCAGCCGCCAGAGAGTATAGCTTCTCTAGGAAGGATTCTCTGGTCCGGCATTTCAAAAAACACCAGCTACAGACTTCTTTTGGTGAACTCAGTCGCCCGTGTGACATCCCAGGTTGCGTTGACTCTTCACCTTCACTTCCACTGTACTTGTCACATCTACATAAAAAGCATAGAATTTCTCTTTGAGGATAAGGAAGTTGAATCAAGTGAATGCGGCGGACCTGAATGAGGATACATGAGAGCTAATGATGCTCTGAAATGGAAAGATATCGAATTGTACATGGTGAAATATCCCGATGTTCCAACGTCTCAAGTCCTTCTGATGAGGGTAACACACCGACTTAGCAAAATGATTAAGATTATATGTGGAGAAGTTCACGGGACGACTGAAAGACAGGGAACCCTGACTGCATCGATTTGCATGAGAGGCTATTAGGAGTAATTCTATCGGTAGAATATGTTTTACTTAGACGGATACGGCCGCAATCAATATGCCATCTTTTCCTCTTAGTCACTTATTTTTCTGCCTTCATGGAATTTTAACTGGTCAAACTACGGAAAGATCTGTCTTCGAGTCATAAGGCATTGAGATGTGATAGATTACCTAACTGTATATTTTATTGTTGGCTTCAAGTCATTGATCTGGTAGTACCCAGTGATTTGTGTTGTCGTTGTATATCGGAAGAAACAGCTTCTCAACAGGACCCAGTTGTAACGTGCTGTTAAAATAACCTTTCCCACTAACTATTAGACAAGGGCCCTGGCGGCACCTGTCAGAGACCCGTTTTACGGCAAGCATTTGAAGCTTTTCTCTGTCTTCACGGGCTTGGGCAAACCATCGATCGTCCTCACATAGGTTGGCAAGCACGCCGTCTTCGTAGTGACGGACAAAATCAACGATACCGTCCGACGGAAAGAAGAAGACAACAAACGGGCAACTATCCGAAAGCGGCTGGAACGAAGCATAAAATGACTCAGGGGTCATATTGAGTTGACAGCTGCAGATGTTCGATGACTGCTTGATAATGGATATTTTATTGTGGGAAGGCCCAACATTCGGAAGAAGTAAAGTTGACTGAGGCATAGGCTGAGGCTCATATACCACTGGGGCAGTGTTTATTAGCGCAAGTTGCATCGGCGCATCGTTTATTAGCGCATCATCCATAGGCGCAACATCCATTGGCGCAACATCCATCGGCGCAACATCCATTGGCGCAACATCCATTGGTGCATCATCCATTGGCGTATTGTTCATTGGCGCCGGATCCACTGGTGCAACATGCACTGCACTATCAATCTGTCCAGGAGTTGACCCACCATTTATGGGCCTAGGCATAGAAGACATCGGTAGGTCCGGAGCATTTCCATCATTGAAATCTGGAAAGAATGACCTGAAGATATCGCGCTTGACGGCGAAAGATGTCATAATTGCGCGAGCTGGCTGATCTGCTGAGTAGACATTATGCAGGAATAGGTACCTTTGGTCAAAGAGGAAGGTGCTTGAGGTTGTCATCCCACAGCGTTGCTCTAAAGACCAGTCGTCTTGGTTGTCCAGACTTTGGATTGCTGGTGGGTTTTCAATCTTGCGTGGAACCATGTCCCTAAGGATAGCGGCAATATGGTTGCTGCATTCCCTGACTCTAGATTCATCATACACAAAGAGCTCTGGGGGGCGTAGCCGAGTCAAGATTCCATGTATGGCGGCAAATTCGATAGAACCTGTTGGACGAGAGCTTTTAAGGAACTTTGATCCTGGAAAGATAAATCCAACTTTGTTCGCACACAGCTTAAACCGCGTCCATAACTCAGAAGTGTCGAACTTTCCTTTTAAAGGGGATTGGCGTACGCCAAGCGGCCGAGAATCTGTAAGGCCATAGAAATGGCGCATGGAGAAAAGGAACAACTGTCTGTAGGCTGCCCAGAATCCGTATTCCTTTGACCCTACTTTTTGAATATAATCGTTTTCTGAAATTTGAACTTGATGTTTCAAGTCGCGAGGACAGACGTAGCACTTGAACATTGACTCCCTTATGGTGCCCTTAAATTTTGGAGGGAGCACCCTCTTGATGACATCAGTCATAGCCTTGAGGTATTTGGTGTTTTCGAGAAATGTTCGAAGTGAAGGTATGATTTTTGGGTATCCCAAAGCGGCGTGTCGGAGCTGTGCCCTTATGGCATGGTCTCTGACATCTTGAAAGGCACTCCCATCTTGAAATATTTGATCAATATGCTCACGATCGGCAATAGATAATCGTGGGCATCTGCCTTCTAATAAGGTGAGGGTTGTCTGATCTAGGATCACGGGATTGAGGCACGTCAGTGACTGCCATGCCTCAAAAATCTCTCCCAAAGAATCCGCAAGCTCCTATTAACATTAGTATGACGATGATGTCTCATAGGAATATCGTACCTCGGGGCATTTGAGGCTAGGGAGGTGTGTCCCCATGAACCAAGACTTCCATAACGCTGGGAACTGAAGAAGCAAGTCTAGCTTTTGCCCTAAATTGAGAAAAGCGTCTTTGTTTTCCTTGGGGTGGTAAATTCTGTTGAATTCGCGACACTTGGTGGGTGACCATTTCGCAAGCCACTCCTCAGCGGCTTCTGTCTCTCCTCGTTGCTGGTAGTGGCGTGTATTGCGAAAAATGTCTCCATCTGCAAAGCTCTGGGAGCTTTGATCACACTCGCGCAATCTCCTACGACAGTCATCGTCCAACTTTGCAGAGTCATATAAATCGAAAGCCCACCAGTAATCGCCTGGGTCGAGCCATTGAAGCGCAGCAGCAATCCGGTGTTGCCCCTGGTAGCAACGTAGCTTCTGACCCTGTGGCAGCTCTAAATCCTTGAAATAACCGACGGGTGAGCCTTCACCAAGTAAGTGGCCTAGGTCCGTAGAAGACACTTCGCATGGGATCCAGGTAAGAGGGTCTAGTCGGCGACACCCCTCATGCTCGAATCGATGAATAAGACGATCAATATGCGACTGTCTAAAGGCTCGAGACCCATAAACATCACTTCCCTCAAATAAAAGTTGATCTAGTTCTCTGACTCTGAAAGAGCCGATGCGGGCTGCGGTCAATTTGCGAGCAGTCTCTAGATCTTTAGTCGCCATGCCGAAACCTCAGCACTCAGTCGGATAGCGTTGTGCGACAACTAAGAACCGGCCGTAAAGGTATCTGGAGTATCCTACGATACGGGAAATCTCATTCCAAATGCGAAAGCCGTGGTTCTCATTGATCAAAGTCGTGGTTTGGGTGATCCATAAAAACTGGCGATGCATGGGCCACACAATAATGAACCAATTAGTTGGGTGGTTTACGCGCCCATAGTGTCTCATGAACCAAAAGAACGTCCGATTCTCTTCATCTTAGGAAAAACCACGGTTTCCGCGAACTATAATTTTCTCGCGGAGGCCGAGGTCTTCTGATCATCTCTATCATAGGAAAAACCACAGATTTTCTTTTAGCTCAAGCCCCTTCGGGGGAGCCTAGACATCGTTGGACTAGGTAGATCCTAGGAAACACCACGGTTTCCGCGCGCTTTAAGCTCCTACGAACCAAACGATCATCCGACTATCTGTATCATAGGAAAAACCACGGTTTCTGTAAAATCTGGTCTTCTCGTGAACCCGAGGGTCGTTTGATTATCGCTATCACAGGAAAGACCACGGTTTCCACGAGCTCTGATTCTCTTGCGAACCGCGAGATCATACGACAATTTCTGTCGTAAGAAATGTCACAATCCTTTGTAACTCTCGGCGATTCCCTATGAATCAAGCGCCCGTCAGACTACCGGTATCTTAAGAAACACCACGATTTTCGTCCACTTTGATATTCTCAGGATCCAAAAGATCATAGGATGATATCTATCCTAAGATTTACCACCATTTCCCCAACTTGAATCATTTGCTGAATCAAACAAGAATTGATTTTGTATCTAAGATAATACTTAATTTGTTACAACTACCATATAATTGGTTTGCAATCAATAGTCTACGATTTTCTTCCAAGCTGATAATCCCACGAATCAAAAGGATCATGAGATAATACTTATCCCAAGTTTTACCACGATTTCCCCCCACTGAATGTATATCTCATATACTACTTGATTAGTTAAAATACTGTTTGATCGGCTGTATGCAAGTATTGCGCAATTGAATAAATAGAGTTCTTCTTTTTCCTCACGTTTGGAAAACATAGAAATGACAAGCTATAAGTTATGTATTCTTCTCTATTTCATCCTGAGTTCTTCAGAAATAACTTCTACTTCCTTAGCAGCTACCTCTCGGGAAAACCGAATATATGGCTTGAGGCACGCGGCTCCCGGAGAGAGCTGTAAAAAATCATGCTAGTCATCGTTAAACCGGATTTAGGATACCGAAGAAGGAAAACTGACTTTCAGGAGTTGACTGGCAGGCTGTGTTCTGGTAGACTCAACAAAATTCATAGCGTTAGATCCCCAGTCAGACACGAGAGAGCCAACTTTTCGCAAGAATGTACTCGGCTCAAGGCATTCAATGATTATGTTGCCGACAGACTCAATGTCACTTTGTGAGTCCCTAATATCGTTATTTTGAAGCATGGAGGTTCCTAGATTTCCTAGTTCATTTAGTATTTGATTGACTTCTCTTATCATGACAGCATACCTATCTTGACGGCACCCGTTACTGACAGAAGAATAGAGCTCGATGATATATCTCCATGGGTTATCTTCAGACGTTTGTGAATATGCTCGAGGCCTGCCAAAATCTCCCGTGAAAAGGCCGCCACTTCAAAAAGCTGAAGGCGACCAAGGGGTGAGCTGAAAATTTGACCTAAGGAAACATCCATGATCTCATAGACCAGAAATATGGCGCCCTCGTAATATATTGCCTCTTGTAGTTCAACAAAGTTTTTATGGGGGCTTGTGATCACTCTTGATAGCTCTGATTTGGTGGTTTTCACCTCTTTAATAATAGCCTCCGAGAATGTGTTGTTGTTCGCATGAACAACCCATCCCCGTCCTGCCTGGTTTATCTTGAAGCTCTTTCGATATCGACCCCAAGGGTTGCAAGCTGTCTTTGACAGTGCAGTGAAAGCCCCCTGACGCTGCTTCTGCAGTTTAAGCGCACCCTGTTTGGTTCCTTGGACTGTCGATTCAGGTTCTGCTAGAGGCCGCTTCAAACGGGCGTCGGACCTAGGAAAAACAGAGACCCGATTATGGGAGGCTTTGGGATTGGTACCCTCCTGAGCGGACATTTTTTGCTGAAACTTTGTATTAAAAAGGACAAGGGAAATGGTGGGCTTTTATCAGTGACACACGCAATGCTTGAGGTTTAAAATCGTGGTTTTGCCCCACTTTCCAAGCGGTCCGGTACGCTTTAAATAGAGGTCATCACCTTCCAAAGTCCTTTTTCCAACTAAATTTGTTCATCCAAATGGATATTTTCTTAGTTTACCTTTACGTCGTGGCAGCACTATTGTCTTTACTTTTTCTTCAGCAATATTTTCATCCTCGGCCGACTTCCCGTATCCGTCGCATGTACGGCCTAGTTAGGCGACACATAATACTCCCTTATTTGCTCCGAAGGCGAGCACTATGGGGTCCTATGACGAGGCTACAAGCAATGGTGTATTTTATTTACATCGGTGGCACTGTCACATGCAATATACTTGGGGCTACAGAGTTAGATAAAGCTCGGGCTCGTGCTGGATCACTTGCCCTGTTACATCTATCTCTTTTGCCTGTGGTCCCTCGCTTGGCATTCGGTGCCGCCTTTTTTGGAACTTCCATTCATACTTATCACCAGCTCCACAGAGGAATAGGTACTATGGCTATCTTTCAGAGCGTGCTGCACATAATTTTGTCTATCCAGATATCCCCATTTGACTTGCGAGAAGTACACCAGAAGAATGGACTGATTGTGAGCAATCCTGTTATCTTCAAGGGTGGTACTAATCATACATAACTAGGCAATGGTTTCTATTGGAGTATCAACCCTGGCAGTGGTTCCGTTCATCCGTCGTCATGCTTACGAAGTATGCATGAAATTGCATCTCTCTATAGGGGTATTTGCCGTGGTGATGGTTTGGATTCATATGAAAGACAGATATGGCTTAAATGGCAAGCTTTTGATCTCTGCTATTGGCCTACTCATCATCAACACTATGTTTTATGGCGCTCGCGAGCTGTTTCGCAACATTACGAGAAGTCAAGTTATGGCTGTTGCCCAGCGCACGCCCTTGGCAGGTGCTGTGAGGTTAGACTTTACGCCTCCTCGTCCATGGGAAGTTCATGCGGGTGACTACGTCTATCTCAGAGCGCCAGGTGTTCATCCATTATCCTTCGCAGAGTCTCATCCTTTCAATATCATATGGTGGGACCAAGACAAATCTGGTAGGGCAAGCAGGATCCAGCTTATCTCTAGGGTCCACTCCGGATTTACTAAAGACTTATCGGCGATCTCGCACGGCTCACTCAGGGTGCTGGTGGACGGTCCATATGGAAAAGCTCTGAACACAAGATACTGGGACAACTTCCTTTTTGTTGCTACGGATATTGGTATATCGGCTCAAATGCCTTACTTGAAAGAGCTGATTGATTTACAACGTCATCCTCGCCGTCTAAGTAGGGTTTCGATCATCTGGGTTGTTGAGGATGACCGTACGCTGCTTTTCATCCCAAAATGAGGAAGGCGCTGACAAAAGGAAATCAAGAGCACAGAGATTGGGTAACAGATGAGGTGCAGCACTTGCTAGATGTGGATGCGGCATACATGGTAAGCGGGTATTCCAATCAAATCTACTGAGGGCCTAAAACTGATTCAAAAGCTCTTCCACTGGACCACTTATTCCAAGACCAAGATAGATACAACTTATGTTGCACGTCGTGGACGCATGGTATTTGGCAACCCGCATATGAAGACGGTTTTGGAAGAAGAGTTTGGGAAATTCTCTGGCAACGTTTTACTTTCAGGTGAGACCACAGCTACCACATATCTGGATCTATCCTGATGATTTGGAGTATCCGCGAGTTCCGATACAAAAGATGACTGTAGAAGCTTTGCTTTGAGTAAAGGAAAACATGTCGATTACTTTGAGCACGAGTTTCAACCCCCAAAGCAAACAAGAAACCTCTTTGTACCGGATGACAACATTCCTTTGGTTGCATAATGCTCGGTTATATGTCAGACATGCGGATGATATGAATCTATTTAATAAAGAGTACTTGATATAGGTAGATAAATACATAAGAATCAAAATTGTTAGCTCAAACCTCTATCGAGCCATCTTCCCTCCCTATAGTGATCAGTAGTATTTCAGTAGACTCCTGCCCTCACAGGTTTAATGCTGCAAATCATTTTAGAGCTGACGCCAGTACTGAGAGCAGCCGGTCACCGAATGTGATCCCTCATATGATAGAAACCACTCCCTGTTATGCAGGAGTCACCCGGTTTAGTGAGAACCTCTTAATGACTGTGTCACGAAATTGTCGGCCCTCGGATAAGCTTAGCGTTGGCCACACTTTTGCGCTTTTGTATGATGGAAACCGTGGTTTTTATTCCTTCCTGTATATTTATAGTCGCTCTATTTCTAGCTGCTAAAGATACGCTGCTTTGTCTGTAAATTTCACAGCATATCCAATTGAATGAAAATGCTGAACCTCCTCGCTCGCGTCTATCGGAAATTCGGCCTAGTGGCAGTACACGTTACTGTCGTTCGCCAGAAACACGGCTCAATGCGTGTGACAGAGTCGAAATTTCCTCCCGATTCGGCGATAGATGTATGCCCTGTTATCTACCGTCGTCGGGGGCTTGAAGGCTTACATATCCACCTAGGTCGATATACACCTTTCTATTCCATACGAATGCCACGCACAGAACTTAAGCTACTCTCCCGATCACAAAGATGCCTGTTAGGATATCGGATTAATGGGGTCATGTATTTAGAGATACAATTATTCTCTTCAATAAACATTGATGTCAATGTACCATCTCAATCCTTTGTGAGGTTCATGATATTAATAATATAGAAAGAAATATTCATTGCAGAACTTACGCTTTCAACTGGCGATATTGCAAATAGTTTCAGTACTTACCAGCTCAATATGGACTTAAAGTCTAGATTGACGGCCACCCCAGTTTCTTTCTCAACGTGGTCTTGGATTTTTCTGATCTTATCTTGGTAGATGTGTGGCTGGCCGAAAAAGCTTTTGAGCCCAAGGAAATCGAACTCAGTGTTTATATGCGAAAACACAAGACTCGCATGATAACTGGGGCCTTCGCTCATGTCATGCGAAATTGCAGGGCTAATTGGAGGGCTACATTAGGTTCAAGTCTTGAGCGTGGTTCTCTGGAGTATGTACTATGCGTCTCCCTACAAGGGAGACTCGACTAAAAATGATACTAACCTGGCACGAAAGCATATTATGTTGCAGTTGAATCTACTCTTCGTCGAAGCTTTAACATCAACACAGTTTCACTCGCATTGCGATTTTATCTTCTCCCGCCGCGTCTACCGAGCATCCAAGAAATCAACGACATCATATATTTATTATGCTCAAATATCTTATGAACTGACATCTATTTATTTTTGGCTAGGCACGCCTGCAATTGCATTGTTCATTCTGGTTGAGCTATATCAAGTATTATATACCTAAGTCTCTGTCCTTCCCAAGCGCAGACATGATAAGCAAATATCATTTCTTAAATCCATCATAATTCCTCCGAATCACCATTATTGCCTGGCTGCTGCATATTCGGATAGTGCATATTCGTATACTGCATTGGCTGCTGCTGGAACTGCTGCTGCTGGAACTGCTGCTGCTGGAATGGGTGCTGCTGCTGGAATGGTTGCGGCTGCTGGAATGGTTGCGGCTGCTGGAACGGGTACTGCTGCATGTTTGGCTGCTGCATGTTTGGCTGCTGCATGTTTGGCTGCTGCATGTTTGGCTGCTGCATGTTTGGCTGCTGCATGTTTGGCTGCTGCATGTTTGGCTGCATGCTTGGCTGCTGCATGTTTGGCTGCATGTTCAGCTGGTGCATGAATTGCTGCATAAACTGCTGCATAAATTGCTGCATATTAAGCGGCTGCTGTATGTTCATCGGCAGACCATTTTGCGAATTACTATGTCCGAATTGCTGGAATTGCGGCATCTGGGATATGCTGGAAGCTGCATCAATTTGTTGTGGCATGTGAGGGAAGTAGTTGGCATCTCCCGCACTAGGCAAGCCCAATATCCCACGCTGTGACTGGTATCTCTTGGATTTCAATGTCAGGCCAGACAGTCCCGATATAGCATCTTCTAAGCGGACATCAGGATCAAAGCCCATAGCCTCCGCAATCATTCTGTCCGCTTCCTTTGCCGAGAGAACCCTCTGCAGTGATGATCTTGAGAGGCCAACCGGACCCTCAAAGGTCCCGTCATCCCCTTGATAATAGAATCCAACGACGATATATGGACATTTATCGCGTGTGGGGCATATTTCCCCAACTGCGACCCACTTCAGGCCATGCTCACATCTTTTGCTACTCCGAATGTGGTCACGGAGGTCCCTCACTTCTTTTTCGCCTCTCATGGTGTAAGGAACACCGACAGATTTTGCCCCTTCAATAGCCATTTGGCCTCCAGCTGCTGCACTTGACACAAGACGTACTCTGCCGCTTGCATCCTCGGTCACAAACCGTGCGCCGACCGTTCCAAGAGACTGCACCATTTGAATTCTTTCCCCGGTAGAGGTATAGCCAGGATTGATCAAACGGCTGACCTTTCGTGGTATCAATGTAATTGTGCGTGTTGGACCTCCTGCAGATGTATGATGTAGCTGAAGCCCCATTGACTCGGTCGATTGTGGCACCAGCCCCGGCTGAGATCCTGGTGGTACCAATCCTGGCTGAGATGCTTGTGGTGCCGATCCTGGCTGAGATGCTTGTGCTGCCAATACTGACTGAGATGCTTGTGCTGCTGGTCCTCTCTGAGAACCTTCCGCCGTGTTGGTAGCTGTACGAGATAAATTTGCCCATTCACTTGGGTATCTTTGCGCCTGGCAGAACTGTTCGACGGCTTGCATCATGACATGCTTCAGTTCTGGTTGAAGAGCGGCTACTCTCCATTGCCCTAACAAGCTGTCATAACGAATAATCCCAAGGTCTGCATCTTTTCCTCCCTCGATGTTCTTCTTTCTCATGTATGCATTCGCATCGTCGAGAGTTTTCACAGAAGCTTTGATGTTCTCCGGACAAGCTGCGCTCTTGATATCAAGTCTTGGGTCCTCTTGAACTCCGGAGTAAAGGACTCTCAGGGTACCAGTTGCATCGGCATGAAGCTTTTTATGATAAGGAGAGAGCTCTCCTTCAACGTGTAGCTCAGCTGCAGCTGCTCCCTGATAGAATTGGTCGTTCTTGTTGATTTCTCCTGGGAAGAGTCGCGCGGACCCTGTTTCGGCCCACTGTACCACTGGTACTCTGTTAAAAAGCGCCGTGGAATGATTTAGTCACTTACATCCAAAAGCCGCATCTGCCTTTTTCTTCATCTCTGGATCTGGATACCTGTCAGGATGAAGAATGAATTTCAGTTCCTTGTACTTGACGCTCGTATTCTGAGGCATCGCGTTTTCCCACGCACGCCTAATTTCGGATGGGTCTTTTTGAGCACTGAGGATCGCCTGGACCAGCTTCACACGGTCCTCATGACTGAAGTCTTTATATCCCATGTCTGTATCCCCGTCAGCATCCTTGTTGTTAACATCCTGAGTAGATGGCCCCGAGGAAGACTCTTCCGAGAGAGAAGGAAGAGCAGGGTACATTGACTCTGAAGCAGGAGAGGGTTGTGCTATCGCAGGAGGTGCAGTCGGTTCGGGCACCACCTGGGCGGGAAGTCCCCCGGCCCTCGCCTCATTGCTTGGCTTCTTTGACATGTTTCTCTCTGTTTTTCTTTTGATGCTGCTTTCTGACTTTGAATAGAAGGAGTAGTAGGAAGGACTGGGCTTCGTCTTAAATAGATGATGCTGGAGCACGCTTTTTTCGAAAACAACGCTTTTTTCGACAACCACGCTTTCGACCTCGAGTAACGTTTTTTGAACGATACCGTACTTGCCATCCTTTATTAAGTCTTACGGCGCGTTTCTATTTTTTGCACAATCACAAATGGTCCCCGTAAACTAGAGTCTTATATTTTCATTAGACAGAACTCTCATACGTCTGCCTATTTCCTCAAAATAGAAGAAATCAGTTGGATTTTAGATAATGTGGGCTAGTTGCAAAAGGGTGGGAGCCGGATGATCCAATACTCTGCGTCATCCGCTAATTATAGCTACCAAGCCTTCGACAAAAGGGGGGTTATTTTGCCCACGTTCAATATCAGAGACTACTTATTCAATGGTTATTGTAAAAGCCTGCAGCATGCATGATGGGCTTATTTAAGTTGGCACAGATATCCACGGGTGTCCTTTGGCAAGACTAGCAATATCTCCTTATCAAAGCGGAAAATGGCAAAATAAAAAAAATGTGAAAAAGACACTGATAATACAACAAGTTTGGATCATTAATTTGCAGCATTGAACGGAACACGAATTACATATCTTTCTTCGTCAGCAGGTTGGCACAATTTTTCCAGTACATCCAAGCGTCTCTCCACATCCGCCAACAGTCCTCATCAAGTTTCATTTGCTCGTAGGCGGCATCCGATAAAATTTTGGTCCAGTACCTGTTATATACTGGGATCACCTCTAGTAAGACTCCCACATATTTGTAGATTGTGAGGACGATAAGCCTTTGCAAAGGGAGGGAGCCACATTTTGCCATGCATAGATACCAACGAAGGTCTCTCCACAGCCTGTTAGGAAGATGATATACGCCCATATGATAGTGTCTGCGTTTCTGAGACGGCTTTTCCCGCATCAAAAGAACGAAATAAATCGTCATTATCTCATTCAGAGATCCCAGAAGGAACTTCGCCTGCTCTCGGCCCCATGGTGCTTTTGGATCACCAGCGCTATCCCCAACTGTAGATATTT